GCAAACCCACCTATGTCTTCAGCCTAGTCTTAAGCACTGACCCCCTGGCTCCTCATTCTGGACACACTGAACTTCTTACATCTTTACTCTCCACTCTATTCCTTTACCTTCTCTCTTGGCCTGTTGAAACCACATCTATCTTTGCTGCTGTGAAACTTCCTCCCAGTCCACCCCACACAGCACTGGTTTACTTTACCTTCCTTTTCTCTCACAGCACTTTGTACATGCTTCAGTTATGAGACTTCTTGCACTTATGTAATTGTTCCTATTTCTGCTTCCAATGTAGTCCTGGTGTGGTGCTGTGGGTTAATGCACCAGACTGCAAAGCCGTTTGAACTGCAAGGTCGGTGGTTCAAGCTCACCAGCTGCTTCTTGGAAACCCTATACAGGGTCGCTATGGGTCGGAATTGACTCAACGGCACTTAACAACAACCAAAACTAGACTGAGTGCCTAGAAGGCAAGAACCTTGCTTGAGTCTACTTCATATCCCCAGAATTCAACACAGGGCCTAGCACTTAATAGCATAAGCAAGCTGCATAAGGCCTCAAGGCACACTAAGAGTTGGAAGAGAAACTCAGAAGAGTGGCAGAGAGGAGTTAAAGAGGAAAGTGAGGGGAGTGGTGGTGTATGAAAATCACAGAGAGATAAAAGTAAGGGAGGGCAAAAAAGTAAGGGAAGTAAGGGGAGAAGTTAGAGGAGAGGAGAAGCAGTCCTGTGAAGATCTGGGATGCGTAATATGAAAAGCTTCACTAAAAACAGGTGGGGCAAATTCAGCAAAATTCATTTCTGCACTACCTACAATGTATGGAAAACACTATGTTATACATTGTGGGGATACAAAATTAAATAAGATCTCTGTATGGTTTGGTTGGCAACAGATAGACACATGAAAATACAACATCCATACATACTGACTTTCCTGAAGCTTTTAAAATTCAGCTTCAATTTTTTAATATTCAATTTTAACACAATATGAAGCCTCAAGGCATTCAATAAGGACTCCCAGTGTGCGCTGTAGGATCAGCACTGGATTGCGAATCACAAGGTAGGCAGTTCAAACCCACCAGCTATTCCTTGGAAAATCCTACCTAAGTTTGCTATGAGTCAGAATTGACTCGATGGCACTTAACAACAACAGTCAATAAGATACTGTTTCATATGGAGATTGACTTGCCTAACAGATCTTAGTACCGCTTAACAAGATTAGACTAGAAACAGCTTTCTTGAAAAATGGACTGAGACAAACTGACATGAAATTGTGAATTTTTATAACATTCAAAAGTATTTCTCATTTCTATGTGTCCCAAACTGTGTGCTAGAACTTTTTAAAGAAGGGAGGATCAGGGTTGGAAAGGGAGGAAAGGATTCATGGAAGATCTGAAAGGAGTGAATGGGGAAACAAGCGAGTTAAAAAATAGACATGGAAGAGAAATTTCAGAGAAAAAATAATGGGAAGACAAAGAAGACAGCATGAATAAAAAAGATATTCCCATTCAGGAAGCTAATTTTAAAATTGTAGTTGTGAATTATCTGTGTAAAGGATGCTGGGGCAAACCTACTTACTTTCTAAATATTTCATATCTAGGAGGTGCTTTAAAATCTCATGCTAGATACTTTGCCAATGATAGTTGAAAGAATGCTAGAAAAGGGAATAAATATTTCATAAGTAGGAGGTGCTTTAAAATCTCATGATAGATACTTTACTGAAAACAGTTGAAAGAATGCTAGAAAAGGGGCTAGAAAATAAGAAATGGTGGGGTTGCAATGTGACTAAGAGACAAATGGTATTCTGAGTGTAATGGTTGATGTCTTTATACTAGTTCCTAAGATTGTTGTTGTTGTTATGTGCCGTGGAGTCTGTTCCGACTCATAGCGACCCTGTACAGGGTTTCCAAGGCTGTAAATCTTTACGGGAGCAGAAAGCCTCATCTTTCTCCCGCGGAACAGCTGGTAGTTTCGAACTGCTGACCTTGCGGCCTGCAGCCCGATTCAGTTCCTAAGATAGAGAGTAGTAATATTCTAAGATATTATCCAGCAGCTTGCTTTTATTTTTCTGTTTTATATGATACTAGGATGACCTGGACATTTAATTTTTTATTTAACTTAAGTTATCAAACCTTGAGTAACTGCTATGTGGTTGCACTCAGAGAGCAATTATGACCAATATGCTCAATAGGGATTGGCTGAGCCCTGACTATGAGCTCATCAGTAGGGCATTATGTCTTAGATGACTTGGGAGAGTATAAAAGGGAGCACAGGAGCCCTGCTACTCAACCTCTTCAGTAGTTTAACATCTAGATGTTAGGATGTAAAGCAGTCAAGTAGAAATGCACAGCAGGTACTGTAATTGTCTAAGGGTTTGAGTAATACATGGTCTGGAAGAGGTGTCTGGATGAGTAAATGCATGGCTACAAAGAGGTGCTTGGGTGAGAAGAATTTGGGGTTGAGTTGGACTGTAAGGGGCAGGAATTTTTAGTAGTTGGAGGGTACGTAGGGAGTTAGGGATACATCCTTGCTTATTGGAGAGTTTGTCTGGCCTGTTGAACAGAAAACTCATGTGGGCAAAGTAGTAGAAAATAAGTTGAGATTGTATTGAGTTTTATTCTTACCTTCTCTCCAATAGTCCAGGCACCTAGGAGGCCGGCCTCCCTGCCTGTCCTAGACTAATTCCACTTTTAATTTCTCCCTCTAATCACAAAATTACATGTTGATGATTAAAATTGGGGGGGGGGGAGGAAAATGCCTTATTATTATTGTTTATTGTTTTACATTTAAGCATTTAGTAGGAATGTTAGCCCTTTATTAACTTCCTGCCACCTTCAAAAGTAAGTTTGAAATGTTTCTTTGGCATGTGTTAAGTAGCAGTAGTACCTAAGGAGACCAGAAAGAAAATTGAACTGTTGGCCTTGTTGGGCATATGCAGGATTGCTTTGTATGTGATTAGAAAAAAGGTAACAAACTACAAATGTAAGGCAGAATGGGGGAAACCGTGGAAGTCTTTGCTTTGGAAGATCCAAAGAGTCTTTGTTCATGGTTAAAAGTTTGAGTACAGTAGTTTTTGCTTGGATTATTCCCAAGTGAGGCAGCTATTTGTATAATAGCAGCCATGTCTCATCAGAGTAGGCCCAGCTTTCCAATGAGAGAAACTGAAGTTGGCCGGGCTTAGCTCTAGGCAATTTACTTAGCTATTGAACCAGTATCTTCATCTGCAAAATGAGTGACCTCATAATAGGACTTTTGTGATGTATGTATGAGGTAACATGTATTAGTACATGGTAAATGTCAGTGTTACAATTATTACTTTAAAGAATAAATTTATCTTATGGCTTGGGGAAACACTTTTTAAATTGATTAAAATGGGATTAGATGCCTTATTGGTCTGGGTTTGGATCCATACCAAGGCCTAGGTTTGGTGGCATGATGGGGAAGGGGGGTGTAGCAAGGTTGGAGGCAGTGGTGTCAGGTGTTGTGGTCATAGGAATATTCATTTCCATGTCAGCCTTTCATTAAATTTGGCACTTTCTGTGACTCAAACAAAGCAGCGTTGTGACTGGCAGAGGAAGGGAGCAGAGGAAAACCAACACATTCTTGGAAATAAGATGTGACTTTTGCTTTAGTTTTTTCTTTAGCTGCAGAAATGTTTCTTTGCTCTTGGTCTTACAACAAAAAGCCCTTCCAGCACAGGGTACAAATCTAAGCATCCGAGGAAATTTCCATTAAGATGACAAGGAGTTAGAAAGACTGTCCTTAGTAATTGTTTGTTTTTTAGTACTAGGACTTCTCAGATAAGGTCACTTAACCTAGGTAGAAAGCTTTCATGTGCCTAGCCTCCCTCAACCACATCCCCTATAACTATGGCCTATGCAGTATTTAAATGTTGAATGTCTGCTATATTTCCTGATGACTTTCTCTCAGTGTTTATAGGAGTTTTATAGGTTTATAGGTATGTCATTTAGCTATTCTGTTTATGTGTTAGGACTTTCTGATTTTAGGATACAGTTTTAGTATAAAGCCTGCATAATGCAGTATAATGCATTCTCTAATAGTTGCGTTGGAACTAGAGTTCTGGAATGCTGTTATAGGAACTAGTCCTAGGTCAATATTACAAGCACAGAGAAGCTCTGTGACCAAGTCAATGGAACTTTCCTATTTTCTGGTTCTGTGGTATATGTTTAAAGCAAGGTTTCAAGCAAAATAGTTTGAGTATATCCACATCTCCTCTACCAAAGCAGGACATTTTGCGATAGCATTACAGTAAATGCCCGGTTGTGACATTAAGCTGTGTCAATAATGGAATTGGATAGGGAACTGTCTTCTAGTCCAATCCCTCTAAAAATAATACACACCCAACTTTGGGATCCTTTCAATAAGTGATGATTTGTTATGTGCCGTCGAGTTCGTTCCGACTCATAGCGATTCTGTATAGGGTATCCGAGGAGCCGCTGGTGGGTTTGAACTGCCAACTTTTCGGTTAGTAGTTCAGTGCTTATCCTACAGCACCATATCTGGCTTCCCACAATTCATTCATTCTTATATTTATTCTTCATTTAAGGGGGAAAAAAATCAGCCAAATCTCACGAGATAATTTCACTTTTCTTTTCAGTGTTTGTCTGAACACATGTGTCTGTACCTATTGATTTGTCATCTGCTTTTTTTCCCCCTTTGGAAGTAGATTTCTTGTGGTTATTTTCCTATATTATAAAATATTCATAGGTCACTTTTAATCTTTTCCTTTCCTTCCCTCTAGGGCACCCGCGGATGGCGCTGCTGGTGATAGAAACTATATGAAGTTATAAGGGCAGGGGAGTGTGGCGGGCGGGAAAGATTCTGAGAGCAAGAACAAGAATGCTCCACTTGAAGACCTATGAAATTTCCAACACCACCTTTGTATATCCTTTTCAGTAAGCTTCTGCAGGGGGCGCTCGACAATGGTCGCCCCTTTCCGGACAGCCTCCAGGACTTTGCCCTCTAGAAAATTGCAGTGTTTCCGGCTCTTCTCAGTTGTAGGCGCTCGTACTGTTTCGGCAGTTTCCGGAGCGACTCGGGGGTCTCCGCGTCTTGCTGGCTCTGTTCTGATCGCCTGGCGCGGTGGTGCGGGGTCTTAGGCGAGTCATGGCGTCCCCTTCTCGGAGATTGCAGACGAAACCAGTCATTACTTGTTTCAAGAGCGTCCTCCTGATTTACACTTTCATCTTCTGGGTGAGAAACAGCGTCGCCCGGGACGCCAGGGGGTTTCCTGGGCTTGGGTGGGAGGTGGGACCTCGAGCAGTGGGAGCCGAGGCTCAGGTCGTGAGTGGGGAGGGAGGCACGGCCGCAGCCCCTGGGACCTCGGCCCTAGTGACGAGTTGCTGGAGCCCAAGCTCGGCTAGAGAGGTTTGGGGTGCGGGACGACGGCAGCCGGCAGCCTGGGATGGGACTCAGATATGCCTGGCGTGCAAATTCCTTGCAAAGGGCCGAGGAAGGGAAGCACGGAAAGGGTGTTTCCGAACCTTTGGAGAAGGTTGTCTTGCCCGACCCCAGTGAGGGCTTGCTCGCTTAATAGTCTCTTTCTTTTCACTGCTTCATATAAGAGGGGAATTTTGCGCAGGTAAGTATGGTATCGCTCTGCTTCTGCCAGTCTGCCCTCTGGCTGGCTTTTGTGTACCATCCCTTTGTACCCAAGGCTGCAAGTGGGGGAGGGGAGAGTTTCTGGAACTCACTTTTTCCCCCTACAGGAAGGTTTTCTTATGAGAATCTTGATCCTTAGGGCAAATATGCCATGGCTTTGTGGTTTACACACACACAACCCGATGAAGTTTAAGAATTGCGATGACGTTTAAGAATTATGATGTCTTGTGTAGTTGTCCTCTGATTTTGTCCTGGCTATGGTTGCCTAATAATCTAGTGTAGATTTATTGCTGCCGGTCCTTGTGTGCACTTCCCCTTCTTATCCAGTTCCATCCTCCCCGCCTCCCCCCACTTGCGGTCACCAGACTGCTCAATTCTCACACCTATTGTGTCTTAAATACCTAGTGGTTTGTGGTTTGAAGATGCTGAGGCGTACAATAAATAACTGTTTTTATTCTCTGATTTCCCACATAGATCACTGGTGTTATCCTTCTTGCCGTTGGTATTTGGGGCAAGGTGAGCCTGGAGAATTATTTTTCTCTTTTAAATGAGAAGGCCACCAATGTGCCCTTCGTGCTCATTGGCACTGGCACTGTCATTATTCTCTTGGGTACCTTTGGCTGTTTTGCTACCTGCCAAGCTTCTGCCTGGATGCTAAAACTGGTGAGTCCTTAGAATTGATTTAGGAAAGTTGTGTGTTGTAGGCTTTGTTCTCTTGGAACGGGTCCTGACCCTTTACAATGTTATCTGTTCCTTATGAAAACATAACCAAGTAACCGTTTAGCAGCTGATTCCCTCATTCAAAGTGAACATTTTATTCATTGTGTTTTCCCAGCTCTCAAAAAATAAGCTGACTCCTTTTGCAGCTCTGATATATCTTATTTATGCTAACTTGGATTTTTTTTTTTTTATCTCTTAGTATGCAATGTTTCTGACTCTAATTTTTTTGGTCGAACTGGTTGCTGCCATCGTTGGATTTGTTTTTAGACATGAAGTAAGTCTGAATTTGGGAAACTTAATATGTTATATTGACTTAAGCCGTATTTAAAACATTTTTCAACTTAGAATTCAAGAGTTCCACCCTGGGGTGCGGTGGTGGTGGGGAGGGGGGATACAGCAGTACACACTAGCACTTGAATAATGTTACCATAGCTCTTTGAACTTGGTCCGTTGATCAGATGGTGTTTTCTTCCACCCAGAAACCAAAAGAACTTTCTAAAACCTTTGTTTAATGGTACTGTTTCTTTGCTATAGATTAAGAACAACTTTAAGAGTAATTATGAGAAGGCTCTGAAACAATATAACACTACAGGAGATTATAGAAGTGATGCGGTAGACAGGATCCAAAATAAAGTAAGTGGTTAATACTTGGTGGCTTCTTAAAAGGGAAACACATTCCCTATTCCCTCAGGAGAATATTCTTGTGTGACTGCTAGTGTTGATGTTGTTTAGTACTGTTGAGTCATTTCTGACTCAGAACAACCCTGTATAGGGTTTCTGAGGAGCAGCTGGTGGGTTTGAACTGCTAACTTTGCAGTTAGCAGTTCAGTGCTTATCTTCAGTGCTGCACCAGGACTCCATTAGTGCTGATGGGACCTTTCTAATTGAGGACAGCCATTTTAACATAATAGATCAGGTTAAATGTTATAGTTACAAAGTAGTAATATGTTCTATAAGTGTTTTTGTTGGATTTTTCAGTTGCATTGTTGCGGTGTCACCAAATATACAGATTGGGAAGATACTAGTTATTACTCAGAACAAGGATATCCTAAGAGCTGTTGTAAAACTGAATGTACTCCAAACAAAGATGCAAGTAAAGTAAACCATGAAGTAAGGAACTTTTTTAAAAAAAACTTTTTCATTAAGAATACTTGAGTAGTTAAATACAGAGTTTCAATCAACTAGCAATGTTTTTAATGCATAATGCAAGAAGTGGAAATGGTTGGGAATAGCATTCTGTGCCTTTTTAAGGAAAATGCATTATAGATTTCAATAAAACAAAGCCCATCATCTTTCTGCAGAGGTATCTGATTAAAATATTTATTTACAAGAGCATAAATTGCTTGTGTTGTGCTTAATGTTTGTTTTCCTTCCTTTTAGGGTTGCTTTATAAAGGTAATGACCATTATAGAGTCAGAAATGGGAGTTGTTGCAGGAATTTCATTTGGAGTTGCTTGCTTCCAGGTAAGTCCTTGGAGTGGCTTAGAAAATGCTTTGTCCCTTTTAGCAGAAAGCTACAAGGCTTCCACTCCTAGGCTTAAACAAAGTCATTTTTTTTGGTCCAACCAAAAAAAAAAATAAATAAAAGTGTTTGTTGACCTATGTAACTGATTCTGGAAGTCTGGTCTTAGTAAGTTTCTAAAATATCATGGCATGTCTCTAGATCTGTATTGGTTAATAGCCACTAGCCACCTTTGAAAGTTTGCAAATTAAGTAATTCATTTCCTCAGTTCTAGCCACATTTCAAGTGTTCAGTAACCGTATGTAGTCGACTAGTGGCTACTGTATTGGACAACATAGGTAGTATCTTCCAAGAAAATCTATCCTTATAAGAATAAGTTTCTTTAAAACTTTTACCTCTGAATTTTCCTTGAGTGATTTTTGGCAATGACAACAGTAGTAAAACATCATTTATATTTGTTGTTGTTGTTAAGTGCCGTCGAGTCAATTCCGACCCATAGCAACCCTGTATAGGGTGTCCAAGGAGCAGCTGGTGAGTTTGCACCGCTGACCTTGCAGTTCAAATGGCTTTGCATTCTGGTGCATTAACCCACAGTGTCACGCTAGGACTCCCCATTTATTGTATTTACTGTGGAGGAAATATATTCTGACAACTTTAATTGTGCTCATTTTATTTCTAGTTGATTGGAATCTTTCTCGCCTACTGCCTTTCTCGCGCCATAACAAATAACCAGTATGAGATAGTGTAACCAGCATATGTGCAGGCTTACTCTCCAACTCTAAGGTGAGTTCATTTTGTTTGCTTCTCAGCTCAGTTAGTGTTTGATTTGAGCTTTGCCTGTGAAGGCCCTGTCCAGCAATGTATTCAAATCTTATTAGTGTTCTGTCAGTCCTGCATGCCTAAGTACAAGACATGACAAACACACACACACACAATTTTTTCAGCTACAGCTTGTCTGTGTATGAACTTCTCCATTTATGCAATAGAACATCCAGACTAGCCTAAAGCTCATAAAGGATACCATATTGATATTTTCCCTATTCTTTTGCCTAGTTATCATTTAGGAATACTGGCAAATAATTTTTTTTCTTTAGTTTTAGATCTTTTGATGTCAACCCTTCATGAAAGAAATATAAAATTGCCTGGATGGAAGACCACTGACGCCACCCAATAGTCTGAAAACCTGATGTAACTACTTAGCGCATTAGACTCAATTCAATCAAGCTATTTGCCCGTTAGACTGATTCAATCATGACATTTGTTCCATATGTTCTAAGTCCACCTACTGTCCCACTCACTTTAGATCTTTGAAGCACCCTGTATCACCCTGAAACACTGGAAGAGCTAGTAAATTGTAAATGAAATACTGTGTTCCTCTTGACTTTTATTTTTCTTACTGTGGCGTCTTTGAAAGCACTATGAATGTGCTGGAGTCCTGGTGTGGTGCTGTAGGATAAGCACTGGACCGCAAGGCTGATTTGAATCACAAGGTGGTAGTTCAAACCCACCAGCAGTCTCTAGGAAACCCTACATAGGGTCACTATGAGTTGGAACTGACTTGACGGCACTTAACACCTTGCATGTGCTAATTTGATGTAGTGCTGTAAGATGGAATTGCACCCTCTGAATTCCCTACTGATGTTGGGTGATAGAAAATTGATGCCTTGCCAGCCAACATTTTCTGATTGTATAATTTGCATCAGCTTGAAATGCTATCATTAGTCTGTTCTGCTAATAGACATGTGTGTAATGTAATTGCTGTCAGTGCTTTGACATCCATAGTGTTACCAGGTAATGGTAATGCTGTCTGACCTAACACATCAGTTTAAGACGCTGCTTGTGTTCTGTGACACATCAGGTATCAGCACACTTACACTTGCCTTAGAATTAAGGTATTTGTACTGGTATATTTTCCCTACTTGAAGGTTTTTAGTGGTGCTATAGAATAAGCACTGGACTGCTAACTGCAAGGTTGGCAGTTTAAACCCACCAGCCTCTCCTTGGAAACTCTTTGCAGGGTCTCTGAGTCAGAATCAATTCAGTGGCGCTTAACAACAGTTATTACTTTACATGAGTTATTTCATGTTTGAATTACTGTTTTCTTTAGGAATTTCGTTAGTTTTAGCTGGTATCTTCTTATTGGGTTGATGTGATTTAATTGGCCAATTTTATAGTAGCTTAGTTTTGGTTTGTGCTCCTGATTAATAAAAATCTTTTACATAATAAATATGTATTGTTTTCTTAAATAATTGTGCTTATCTATTAGAAAATCTGGTATAGATGTTTTCCACTGAGAAAGGTACATTTCTACTTGGGATAGTTTTTTGCTTCACATATTTTCAACTTTGATTACTTCAAAGTTTTGGGGTTTTTTTGTAAATATATAGGTGAACCCTGGAGTCCTGATATGGCATTGTAGGTTGGTTTAAATCTACCAGCTGCTCCTTGGAAACTATCCAGAGTCTCAGTGAGTCAGAACTGATTCGATGGAACTTCATAGGTGAGCCTTGGTGTGGTGCTGTGGGATAAACACTGGACTGGTAACCACAAATCAAACCCACCAATCACTTGGAAACCCAGTACAGAGTTGCTATGAGTCAGAACCAGCTCAGTGGCATACAATATATAGGTAACAAAACATTTGCCATAGCAACAGTCTTCATGTATACAATTCTGTGATGTTTAACAATCACCCTTAACAGAAGCTCTGTCCACTAGCATTGTGCCTTTACTCCTTACCTCCTACCACCTTGGGGTACAATTTTTAGATATGAAAGGTAAAACCTTGACGTTTAAAAAATGTCCCAGTTTGCAAAATTTCCTGTGAAAGGGTACATTCTATGCTATGACATCTCATAGCCTTAGCAGTATGAACATTAGACTTAATTGTATGTTTTTATTAAGTGCCCTCCAGTTGGTTCTGACTCCTAGTGACCCTCTATAGGGTTTCTGAGGCTATAAATCATTACAGGAACAGAAAGCCTCATCTTTCTACCTTGGAGTGGCTGATGGACTCAAACCACCAACTTTGTGGTTAGCAGTCCAGTGCTTACCTTACAGAGCCACTTGTGTCCCTTGTATAGCTTGCATAAGTTGAATTTGCATGTATTTTGAATCATCAGGGAAAGAATTACTAGAGTTTCACATAAAGGGGAGAATTATTTTTTGGTTTAGATTTATACATCCATTAGTAGAATTATCTCTTATTGCCATACTGCATAGAAGTCCCTCATTAAAAAGGAAAACAAAAACTAGAAAAGATATGTAAAGTAGGTTTTAGTTTTTGGATGGCTAGTGCAGCCAGAGTGCTCCTTGGAGGCCAAGATGGCCAAACTTAGTCTCTCATACTTCAGACATATTGTCAGGAGGGACCAGTCGCTGGAGAAGGATATGTTTGGTAAGGTTGAGGGTCAAGAGAAAAAGAGGAAGACCTCCAATGAGATGGATTGGCCAAGTGGCAGCATCGATGGGCTCAAGCATGGCAGTAGTAGTGAGGTTGGCCCAGGATCGGGCAGTGTTTCATTCTGCTGTGCATAAGCTCACTATGAGTCGGTACCGACTCGATGGCACCTAACAACAAGTATACATGAGTAGCTAATGTGTGCATGAGCTGAGAATAATGAATACCAGTTATAATCAGGTGGTAAGAAAATTGCCAGGAGAGTTCCCATGTCCTTGTTAAGTACCATTGAGTCAGTTCCATCTCTTGGTGACCCTTTATAGGGTTTTTGAGGAGCAGCTGGTGGGTTTGAACTGATTGCCTTGTGGTTTGCAGTCCAGTGCTGATCCTACAGTGCCACACCATGAATCCTCACATATCCTTAGTAGGTTGCTAATAAGAATAGCTGGCTTAGGAGAAGGGATCTAGTGACCTAAGTCAAGCATAACTAACTTTTACCAGAAGCAGTAGGGCTGTGCAGTGTCATGAAGACACTCTATTATGTAACCAAGCACTAAGAGTGAAGGTAGAGTGTCTTCATGAAATGGCACAGCCCAGCTGCCTCTGGTGGGATAAAATTCCTTTGAAGTTTTGTCATAAACATCAAGTTAAAAAAGGAATGGTACATATAACTGGTATGTACTAAGGAGCTCTGGTAGCGTAGTGGTTACGAATTGGGCTGTGAACCACAAGTTCGAAACAACCAGGCGCTCCGCGGGAGAAAGATGAGGCTTTCTACTCCCGTAAAGATTTACACCCTCGGAAACCCTGTACAGGGTCGCTATGGGTCGGAACCGACTCGACGGCACTTAACAACAACAACAACTATTGTACACATGACTGGTATTGTAGTAGTTATGAGTTGGGCTGCTAACCTCAAGATAAGCAGTTCGAAACTACCAGCTGTTCTGCAAAAGAAAGATGAGGCTTTCTGCTCCTGTAAAGATTTACAGCCTCGGAAACCCTACAGAGGGTCACTAGGAGTCAGAACCAACTGGCGGGCACTTAATAAAAACATACAATTAAGTCTGATGTTCATAATGCTAAGGCTATGAGATGTAGCATAGAATGTACACTTTCACAGGAAATTTTGCAAACTGGAACAGGATTGCTACGAGTTGGAACTGACTCCATAGCACATAACCAACCAACCAACATATAACTACAATGTTTGTCCATTTAAATTGAAAGTACTTCCTCTCTGTCCTTTATGCACCAGATATATTCTGTGGGTTATCTTACCTCCAGTTACCAGGTTGATTGCTCCAAGGTGACTTGGAACTGTACTTTGAGAAGCTAAGTTATGTAGGCTTTATTTTGTGAAAATGGAAAATCTAGTAGCATTGACCTGTTTTATGTGGGTTTATGTTAATGGGTGTCAAACTTGTGGAAATAAATATCTCCTACAAGGTTTAAATACTATTTCTATTTTCCTCAGAGCTTACACAAGATTCTGAGGCCTGATGTTTTTAACTCCCTGTCAGAATCCAAAGGACACCTTGGTGGTTCAGTGGTTAAAGTGCACAGCTGCTAACAGAAGGGTCCATGGTTCAAACCCTTTAGCTGATTGTGGGAGAAAGATGTGGTAGTCTGCTTCTATAAAGATTTACAACCTTGGAAAGCCTGTGGGATAGTTTTACTCTCTGTAGGGTCACTGTAAGTTGGGATAAACTTGATGGAATTAGGTTTGGTTTGGGTCAAAATTCAAGCTGATACTTTGCTAGTGAGGTGGTCAACCAAACCTATTAAATTATGAGATGCAAAGCAATATATGCATTTATGTGTGTGTGAGAGAGAGTGAATGTGAAACAAAGGAAAATTTGGTACCTACCATGTAGACTTGGAGTCCTGTTGTGGCACTGTGGGTTAATGCTCAGGACTTCAAAGTTGGTTTGAATTGCAAGGTTGGAAGTTCAAACTCAACAGCCACTCCTTGGAAATCCTATATAGGGTTGCTATGGGTCAGAACTGACTCGATGACAATAACAATGACAACAACAACATGTAGACTTATTTGAGGGGCAGGGGGTAGAATCTAACAAAAGGTAAATAGCATCTCTGCTTTTCCTCATATCTTACATAAGATACTTTGAGATTTGATTATTTTTTAAAGCTATTTGCCCTTCTATGTTGGCACTTTGCCTGTGATGTGGACAACCAGAACCTTTTAAATTAAAAAAGGAAAACAAAAGTCTACTTTATCAAAAAGAATAAACTCAAACAGCTCCAGGGAAATGAGACTTTCATTTTTAAGCCATCAGTTTAAAACAGCCCAGATTGCTTTGTGAGAGAGAAGCCATTATGATTTAATTATGGCTTTTCTATTAGGTACCCCTACCCTGTGG